CGGCCGCCGCCGAGCGCTGCATCCCCGCGACGGTCCCCGGCCTCGCCGTTCCTGCGCCGGGAGGTGGGCGCGCGTCGCACACAGCACCAGCAGCGCCTCCGCTCAGGAGCGCTCCCTCAGGTCCGCACCTTCGCCAACTCCTAGTGGCAGAAAGCCGGCCCCCGCGCCCGAGGCATCCCGTTTTCTACCCGCGCCAGTCCCCACCCTCCAGACAGTGCATAAAGCCCTTTAGACCCGACCGCCCCGGAACTAGCATGCGGGAATCCGGCGGGGCAGGCCCCCTGCCGCCTGGCCCGCCCCCTGCACTTTGCAGCGCCGGGAGGAGTGGACACTCGAACACATGCGCGCTCCCACACGCACACGTCGCACACGCGGGCACACTCACACTAGTACTCCCACAGGTTTGCACACACACACACCCTCCTCACTGTCACACGAACTGACAGTCTCACACGCGCGCACACCCTCCTCCGTCTCACACACGTGCGCGCACATTCCAGTCGCAAACACCGACAGCACTCACGCGCACGCACACGATCACACATTCGCACACAATCACTGACAGTCACACGTGGGCGCGCCGCTGCCCTTGCCCCTTCGCCGGATTTACCCCGGTTTAGAGGCCGACTAGGCAGCCCACGGGGAAGTCTGCCACCGACACGTCTTAGAAACTAAGTAAGCAAAGGAAAGGAATGAGAAGGGGAAAGGTCAGCGAAATTTTAAAAGGGGAGAGAAGGGGGGGAAGATCTTGCAGGGAGAAGGAAGGGAAGGAGCGAAGAGCCTGCTGGAGAGGCCTGTGACCTCAACTGCCAGGCCTGGATTCTCCGAAGGTCCTCGGATACCTCGGTTTCCCCTGACAGTGTTCGGGCTACTGTGTAGGGTGCTCTATGCTTCCAGTTAGGAACCTGTGGATCCGTTTAGCCTTTCTTAGGCGCTGCAAGTACAGGTGCCAGGGCTAGATCGCGCTTCTTACAGCCCTGTTCACTTTGAAACAAAATTGAAAAGAATGAACGTCCCCTGGTTCCGGTGCTCCTTTATAAGAGGAAGACACACAGGGGTTCAGAGAACTCCGCGGCTCGCTTCTTTGGGGTCCCAGACCACCGTGAAGAAACTTTACATGCGCCCCCAGAGCACCGTCCTCAGCCTGTACGTGACACCAGAGCCCTAAGTAAGAAGCGAGAAGGGCTGTTTCTGGACCCGAGATAGCCCCAGAAACATTTGCCCCGGACAGTTGGGCAGCGGAGCCCTGGGCACTGCGTCCAGGGATTTAGGACTCCTAGCCCTCGCCCAGGGGTCGGGTGCAGGCGGGCTGCAGCCCTGTATCCACGTGGTCCCTCCGCTTCCTCTCCGCAGGGACGAGAAGCGGCCAGTTGCTGCCAGCCGCTTCTCCCCGGAGCGCAGATCGGTTTGGGGCCCTGCTGACCCCAGCAGTCTGGATTGCGTAGCTTCCGTGCACTTTAGAGGCTGCCGCAGCTTTGCGGGGACTGGGGGCTGGGAGAAGATAGGCGTTACTTTTGGAAGACCAAAGGGAGGGAGCGAAATAGGCACAGAGAAAGTTTAAGCTTAAAAAGAATAGAGGTGTGCAAAAGGGCGGGAGAGATACCGTGTCTTTCTTTTCGAGATTTCTGGATTGGGAAATACAGAGTTCTGGGGTCTGGCTAAAGTCACTGGAATTCTCTTCGCCTCCCTGCAGAGTGTGGTGTTGTGGCGCGGAGGAGGAGGCAGGACTGGGGACCAGAGGGGCGGGGGAGCGTTGGAGAGTAAACGGACAACTGGGTGGGAGGAGGGAAGCGGCGAGGGGGCGCGCTGTGACTCCAGGCTCCGCGGGTGATTTATGCCGGTTCTGGGCTGCCGGGGCGATGGTACGAGACCGCGCAGGGGTCAGATCGGTCCGACACCCGCCGGGGCCGCGCCGCATAGTCAATTTGCGACCCGGCACCTCCGCGTTACAAAGAGCGGGCTCGGACGCTGGGGAGGCGCGCCCCTGGGCTGGCGAGTGAGAGGGAGGGCCCAGGGGCAGGGCGCTCTCAGAGCGCGCGTGGGCGTGCGGGTGCGAGCGTGTGTGTGTGTGCGCGCGCGCGCGCGCGTGTGTCCTTTCACTGTTGCAGCCGGGGCTCCAAACATTCCTTTCTGCACTGAAGGGTTTTCCTCATTGTTGTTGTCTTTGTGTTCCTGTGTTGCCAACTTACTGGAATTCCTGACGTGGTTGCACAGCAGGGCTCGGGCGGGCCGTTCGAGCCAGCTGCGTTTGTGTATGGGGCCGACCCCTCTGTTAATCCCAGAATAACGCCGAAGGAGAAAAAAGGGAGGGAGAATTGGAGGGAGGGGAGCTGAAAAGAGTAGAGTTGGGGACCACTGATGGAGCAAAGGCCATCATTCCCAACACGGTGTACAAAGACTCATGCTCTTATGGGGGGGTGGGGGAGACGACAGTTTCTCACCTCTTTTTCGCAACCCCAAATTCATGACTCTTCAAAACTGCCTGTTGTCATGCAACGTACTTATACGCCTCATGTCTATACCTAAGAAAGCTTGTTGTTAGATTTGAGAGATCGTAACTGTGGACCAGCATCTGAGAAACTCCAGGCTAAATTTGGTTGTGAATTAAGGCAGCATTGTTTCTATATAATGCAAAAATGTACTTTTTAAATTTTTCATATTTATTTCTCCACACACATATATAGAACTTTTCAAAGCAGTTAACCAAAAAACACAGTACTGAAAAGTGAAGTTCATTCTAGTAGATTCGTGTCGACTTTTTGGGGGGGAGTTTCGCCTTTGGGCACGGGAGAGAGAGGGAGACAAATACAATAAGAGGGAGAGTGAGAAATCATCCCCCAGGGGGATGGCCACACTGCCATCACTTCTCTTCCATTCTCCTTTCGGGATCTTGGGCAGCACACACGTGGCTGGCCTGAGTTTAAAGCCACCGGGTCCAGGACTTGAATTGCAGTTGACCATGTAGTACACCAGCGACGTAATCACTGTGCCATTCTTGATTATGCTTAGCTATGTTATTTTACTTATTCATCTCAACAGCAAATTACTGGAAATCATTTCAAAGCATTAGAACAAACTTCATGTTTCTTGCAGTGGTCATGAAGTTGTAAAATCTCTTTGAATCAAATCAAACTTCAGTCTGCTTTTAATCCAACCTAGATTTTCCTCCCGAGTGCCACAGAATGAACTACTCACTGAACAGCTCCAACCCAAAGTCCTGAGACCTCAAACTCAACATGATAGAGCCTGGGTCACAAAGCTTCAGTATCTCAGTCAGGGCCACCACCACACACCCTAGAGCCCGGTAGGAAATTCAAGTCATTCTAGACTCCTCCCTCTCTTCTCCCCCACCCCTTTGCAATCAGTTATGAATTCTAACTCAGATTCCTCAATCCACTCACTTTTCTCGGTCTGCCTGCTTTTCTTAACCTCATTGTCAGTAGCCACCAACCTTTCTCACCTGAATTACGGTGGTTAATTATGCCATAAAATTACAGCAAGAGCTCCTTGCTGTCAGTCTTGCCCCTCCCCTCTATTTTCCATTCTGCACCTAGATGATTCAAAGTGATATTTCTGCCAAACTAGTGTTTTCAATGAGATGTCACTACCCATTTTAGAGGCATGAAATCAATTTAGTAGGTCAAAATTATACCCAAGTGAAGTAGAACAGAATACAAATTAAAATAACTTTCATGTGGAAAGGATAGGTATCTACTTTGGGGTGGGTGAACACACACTGTGTCACCATGTCAAATACATTTTTCATATGCATCTGAGTCAGAAAAGTTTCAGGGTCCAGCCCTGTAGAGCAGCCATGAAAGGCAGCACAGAGGAAGCCAGATCCCACATGGCCCATCAGGGTTCAAGTCCCAGTGCCAGTTGCTTAAAAAACACATGGGACAGGCACGCATGTCCCAGACCCTAGTGGGATGGAGAACTGGAGGAACAAGGATTGAAACCTAGAAGAATTGTGACCCTGCAGGCTCCGCTGGGGGTCTCTCTCTCTCCCCCTCTCTCTCTCTCCCTCTCTCTCTCATGCACACTCCCTCTGGGGAAAACAAAAAAAAAGAAAGCTTTCCCACAAACCACTTATTAATTAAAAAGGGAGAAGAGTAACTTTAAGCCAAGAAACCTGGCAGATGTTTTAATAGGTTTTATTATCATTTAGCTGTGGTAAGGACAATAGGTTAGGAGACCACTGCCATGGAAAATAGTTTATTTTACCCACAGATCCCAAGGAAGGGAACTGCACATCATGCCAGGGG